GAAATGAAACTTTTCACATCAATCTTATCTTAAGAGATTCTTCTAAACCCTTATTTCCTTCGTTTATACAACCTAATTTATAGTCAAATGATGTATTGTATGAGATATTCCATTCTGCAGGTTAAAGTGTAATAGTGAGATTGGAACATGTGTCTATTTTCTGTCACTCATTCATTTTGCTTAAGAATAACAGGATTAATCAGGTTCTCTCATGCGATAGACACATACAGAGTTTAGCTCTTACAACTACTTCAGGCATAAAAATTGACTTACCCTTCCCTTCTCAACTTTTTCACTCGCTCTTCATATATTTTATTCTGTTATTATACTTTGTATTTCTCTTTATCCGACATTTATTCTTTTTTGACTTCGCTGATGACTTAGTCTCTTTCTTAATATCAATGCTGAAATAATTCACAGTAGAATATCAATTTCCTATCATTCACTTTAAATCCTAGAATGGCCTTACGCCTCTTCACATGGCTGTCCAAGGAGATAATGTTGAATGTACTCGCATACTGCTTCAACGTGGAGCTTCTCCAGATGATAACGCCGTGGATTTTCTAACTGCATTGCATGTTGCGGCTCATTGTGGTCATTTGCGTGTCTCCAAACTTCTCCTAGATCGCCAGTGTAACGTAAATGCCCGCGCCTTGGTATGTTTTCCAATTTCTCTGCCAATCTATTTTTCCATCCATCTCTTCATAATTTTGCAAAAATTCATACTTTTTAGTAAATTTGTCTTAGAAGGTATCCATTAAGAAGCTAATTTGGAAATCATACTTGTACCTATAATCTTGATGCTGTAAGCATTTCGCGATAAAGCAAAATTCATCCTAAGATAAACAATAGATTGCCGGTATCCAGTCGTCATTTGCCTGAAAAACTTTCTTGCTTTTAATGATTTTCTCTTTACGGTTGTTTACTGGCACTTCGCACTTTGGTCGCATGGTAAGAAAAAGTTGGATAAGATCCTAAATTTTATAAACCAATTTGACGGAAGAATTAAATTCACAATGGAGGTGGAGGAGGATAAACGACTATCCTTCCTGGATGTTGAAGTCATTAGCTCCAATGGGATACTCAAGAGGAGACTATTCAGAAACAAATCACATGCGGGAATAATCCTCAATTTCCAATCTCATCGCACCTACTTACTGAAGATCGAAATAATGAGGAATATGATCATCAGAAGCTTAATACTAACGGACATTGAGTTCTGAAACGAGGAGTTGGAGAAACTGACTCGGATTTGCCTAAGTAACAGGTATCCCAGAGAATTTATAGAAAGGAATATAGGGGTCATAAAGAGCAGATTTGAGCTAGGATTGTATGAAAATAAGATCAGAAATCGGGAGGACGACAAAAATAGGATATGCCTGCCTTCCTGTAAACTAAGCCAGAAATTGCGACAGTTACTAATACTGAAATATCAAGGTGATAACAAATGAAAAGACAACACTCTTCACAAGCCCGCCGACGAAACACGACAAGGTTGACAAACTGGATTGCTCAGGAGTCTATAGCATCAAATTCAGCAACCGTGAGCAGTAGTATATTGGTGAAACAGGAAGAAAAATCAACCTGCGAATCAAGGAACACCAAAGACTCTGCAGATACATGGACACTGAAAGATCCGAAATAGCAACGCATCGCACGAACGAGACATTGAATCAACTGGAAATCGAGTGGAAATCGACAGAATGGCTGCATATGGTAAAAATGCCAGAAAACGTAAGATAAGAGAAGCCATTGAAATCATGACTGAAAGAAACCTAATAACAGAAGATTTAAAGAAGGCAGGATTAGCGAAATATTTGCATACTGACTAAGCAAACTCGGAGAAAATCAGATAACAGGAATATCAGCAAAATGAATGCTATTGGGCAAATGTAATACCTTTAGAAGTTGTTTGACCTTGTTTTCGCAACTTGGTCATATTGGTAGGAAGACTTAGAGGAACGCGCCTAGTCCGGAGTCCATTGTCGGCATGGTCATTTCCAAAGTCGGTCTGTGGACGTGGTACTTTTCCAGACGTTTCGCCCTCATCGTCAGTGATTCTCGCCATTCTTGGCACCATAGTACAGCTCGTCAAAAGAGACAAGTGAAGTCCATCCTTTGACCAAGCGTGTGCTAAACAGTTGGGATATCTCCCCTTCTGCTCTGGGCTATTCACATTTCCTATATTCTCCTATCATGCCTTTACTGCTACACTTTTTACCGTGCTTATTTCGATGTAGTGTGGTGTGCTCATTAGAGCGGCATTTATGAAAACCCTTCACACTCCACACTATCGTTCTCACCCCCTTCACCCTTGTGCTGGGAATGTTGACCAGAGTCTGCCATATTGTTGCGTAGTCCTCCTTCCCTGGGTCCTATCAGAGTCTCCTTCTTGCCCATCATAATCCGTCTTCTATCTCCCTGGTACACGTATTTTCCTCGACCCCTGCCCCCTCCCCATCTGGGATACTTGAGGCGTTATTCGCCCTCCCCTGCGTCTGGGTGACTAATTTGAGGCTAAAGCCTCTGACTTAATCTCATGGTCATGCCTTTTCTACATAGACCATGTCTCTTGTAAAACCTACTGTCAGCCAACTAGCTCCAATCGCCGCCGTGTCTATCCTGTCTCTATTCCTAATATCATGTCATGACTTGCATGCCCTAGTCTCTAGCGTGCCAACACACAAACGTTGTGGTACAATCGGAAACTACGAGAAGATGTCATTTAAGGGTTGGCACGCAATGGAATGTCATGGAAGAGCGAGAGAAACGGTACTGGCTATATCTAGTTGGCTACTAGTAGATAAGTTTGCTCATAGACGTGGTCCATGAGGTAAAGGCTTGACCACGAGATTTACTCGGTGCACATGCCGCACAGCGATGAGGGAATCTGCAACGGGGAGTGTCAATAGATTTCAAATTGTTTTATTAAAGGGGTGATGTGAGGATATAGGATAGGTGAATAGCACAGGACAGGAGACATATCACAACTGTTTAGCACATATTTGGTCAAAGGATCGACTTCATCTGTCTCTGACGCATTGTAGCGTGGTGCTTAGAGTGACAGGGCTCACTGACTATGTCGGCGAAGCGTCTTGTAATGTACCAAGTCCACGGTCCGAATCTGGATATTATCATAGATACTATGGACTCCGGACGAGGTGCGTTCCTCTAGGTCTTCCTGTCAATATGACCAAGTTGCGAAAGCAAGTTGAAGCAACTTCTATAAAATGTACTTAATCGCCTCAGTTCTTACTGCCGATGGTTAATAGGCGAATTTCTAACTAAGCCAAGTAGTTATTTGCTAAAATTGGGGATGAACTTGATTCCATAGCTGAGCCTCGTATTTGTTTTTATAGTTTACTATTCGAAGTAAAACAAATGTTTAGTTCGTCACTAAATTCGTCAACTCCGTTATTCGATCTTTGCTAAATATTTATTTCTCAATATCCTGGTTTCAGCCCAGGGTTAGTTCTTGAGCCTAAGTAGCTCCGCTTACCAGGATGTTGGTGTACGCCGACTACATCAAAACTAACAAATCAATTTATCTTCACATCCCAGCTATTTTTGCATCATTCCTATTTTCTCTTGATTCTTAACTCTTCTTTCTGATAAGCTACCTGAGATTCACTTGTGGGTGAAATCAATAATATTATTTAGTTTTATTTATTAGTTTGTACTTATTTTCTTAAAAACAGCAAACATTTTCGTCTATAACCCACTCGTATTTTAAATGGCATTTTTATAAAGATTTACGGACTAAACGGTGTTAGTTTTCTAAGCTTCCTTCTTATTCAATATGAATTAACAACTTGCCTGTAGTAGTGTTGATTTGACCTTGTTTTCGCAACTTGGTCGCAGCGTCAGGGAGACTTTGTGGACCGTACCTAGTCATGTGCTCTCTGCCTGACATTTGAGAAAGATCTGAGTTCGTCTTCTCAGAACTCAGAATCAATGAGTCGTAGGCTTCTTTTGCCCATACTCCGGTGTACTTCAATCTTACTTCCTTAAGTATGGTTAGACTGGAAGTTAAGAGCTATTCCAGCATGCGATTTCTTTCGGAAAAGTCGTTTCATGATAGCTTCCTTGGGGTGAATGATCTCCATATCCAACAAAAGTAAGTGTCCGCTCTCTTTCATATCCATGGTTAATTTGACTTTTTCATTCATTTCGTTTATGAAGATCAGGAAATCGTCTAATTTTTCTTTTCCATGCCACCAGATTGCGAAGTAGTCATCCAAATATAGCATAATTACTGTTGGCTGCTTATGTGGCACTTTAAAATTCTCCTCCAACTTGTCCATGTAGACATGAACTAAAAGAGGTCAGAGTTGTGAGCCCATAGACCCTGTGGTCCAAGGACACTCGTAGCAATGTGGCGTAGTGGTTAACGTGTCTAACTTACACGCTTCACTTCCATGGTTCGACTCATGCTTGGGGTGTTGATAAGACCTATGCGAAGTCGAAACTGCAGTCAACCCTGCATAAGAACAACTTTGGGGAAAACAAGGCTATGCGGAATTCAATGGAAACGTCAACTCTACTCATATATATGAAGACCAAGATGTTGTGGCCTCTGGTGTGGTCGCAGTCTCCTTTCGATTGATAGAAGTGG